CAGTCATTATATTAGGAGTAATAGATACTTTTGATATTTTTTACTGGTACATACTGAAATATTTATGGATGAAATTATATCATGTTTGTCTGGGATTTGCTTTAGAATAATTCAAGATGGGAGAGGAGAATTGATGTGGGTATATGTGAAACGAGATTGGCCGTGTGTTTATAGTCGTTGAAGCTGGGTGATGGGTATGTGGGGCTTCATTATCCTTACTCTCTACTCTTATGATTTTTAAATTTACCATGATTTTAGGAAAAGCCATATGACTAACGTGATTTTTCCATGCTTGTCTGTTTTAGGAGCAAATGTGAATAGAACCACAGCTAACAATGACCATACTGTACTGTCCCTGGCTTGTGCAGGGGGTCATCTGGCAGTGGTAGAACTACTTTTGGCTCATGGGGCAGATCCTACTCACCGTTTAAAAGTATGTAACTCAGATGTTTCAGGCAACATTGTAAATTAATTCTTCACTATCGAACGTTACAGAATACCATCCACAAGTTTCATTTTTAATGGCATTCTAAGTATTAATTTTCTCCTTTTTTATTAGAGGAAAGTATTCTTTACTAAACTCATGATTTTAATGTGTCTGGGACCTGTTTGCTTTATCTTCCTCATTGATTCTGTCAGTTAACTTACAATTTTCACTTTTTTTCCCTTCCACGTTTACTCTTTCAGGATGGCTCAACTATGTTGATAGAAGCAGCAAAAGGTGGCCATACAAGTGTCGTTTGCTATCTTTTGGACTATCCTAATAACTTGCTTTCAGCTCCTCCACCAGATGTCACTCAGTTAACCCCCCCATCCCACGATTTAAATAGGGTAAGATTCAAAATAAAACATTTTATATTGTGTCTTTATCCTCCTTTCACTCATAGTTTCAGTTTAAACTAGATTGATTATTTTTGTTATAATATTGTAGTTCTCTTTAGAAATATGGACTTCATATGGTTAACGAATATCTGATATAATATTAAGATTCTAGATTAGTATGATTTTACTTTGCGTACTTAAGGTCGAATAACAACTTGAATTCAAAGTCCATTAAAAAAATGTTATGGAAAATAATTGGGTACTAACATACTTTCAGTAAATATGTCATTGTCTGAGTTGGTGGTATACTAAAAATACTTTGAATAAGTCTGTAACTTGTTCTTTATTTAAAGCATATTATTTATTGGATTGTGTAGGACTCTAATAATCAGAATCCATTGTCCTAGGCTCCTCGTGTACCGGTTCAAGCACTGCCCATGGTTGTCCCACCTCAGGAGCCTGACAAACCACCTGCCAATGTTGCCACTACTCTTCCCATCAGGAATAAAGGTCAGTTATAATTCTAAAGACTGTTTCTTACTTGTTGTCCAGGTAAAAATAAGATTACAATAAAAACCAACCATTTCTCCAAAAAAGATTAATTAAATATTTTTCTTTTACCAATGAAAAAAGCATGTTAGTGGGAGAGAAGGTAGTTAATAGCACTAATTTGCTAAAATTAGAAATATTAGGAGAAATTCAGATGCTTATCATTGATGCAATTCTGATTATCCATGATTTCCTCTATTTAGTAATTTTTATTTATGTAAAATGTTAAACTGGGTTTAGTTGGGTGATATTTTTGTAAATTATTTACTCAGATCTCTTTAGTGATATAAGGCAGAAGATTGACAAGATGGATCAAGTATTAAAACTTATTTTAGAGTAACTGGTTTAATATAGATTTTATATCTGGGATACCTTTTCTCAACCAATAATTCAAAGTTACTTGAGATAGGCTTGTTTATTCCTCTAGAATTCCGAGGTCCATATTTGACTTGTGGATGTCACACCATGCATGTTCTTAAGTTATGTACCCAAACATTATACCTACCAGTTTGAATCAGTTTTTCTTTTTAAAAGTTTTACCTGAAGAACCAGTGTAGTTTTTATTTTGCTTTTTGGCTCCCGATATTCTTTTACCAACAAGAATGCTTAAGTATTTCCACCAGCTCTTTTCAGTCACTACTACCAATCTAGAGCCTTGGCACCTTTTTGAATTGGTATAGCAAACAATTGATTGCTATGCCTGTAGCCAGGTCTGTCTATTCACCTGGCTGTCAGAGGATACAGTGGATGGCATAGTCCAGCATCTTTTCTTCCAGGGAAACTGAATCCCAGTTCTCTACTGGCCAGGTAGCTGTGTGAATATGTGAATTTATATCTTGCCTATATCAGTCTTGAAGATGATAGACCCCAACAAAGACATGTATCTTAGTTGGATTTTAATTGTTACTTCTCAGTGGTTTGGGTACTCTTTGTGTGTATGTGTGAGTGTTTAAAAGTCACAGACTATTAAATGTGGAAAAACCTTGACTTAGAGGTCTAAGTTTTCCCTACATCCTAATAATTTAGCATTATTATTCTGTTCTTATGATGAGTTTTTCATCTTTATGACCATATGAAATATATACACATAGCCTTAGATTGTACTTTAATTGCACCACTTAGGTATCACAAACCTGCATCCCTCTGTTGTCTAATTTTAGCCATGTGATATTTTTAAAATTCTGAAATTAATTTCCAAAGATAATGCACATAAAATACATACATTTTATATTTATGAAAAGGAAGGTGGATTTGTTTTTAACTTTTTAACAGTGCATTTTCACCTTCTGTGGATATGATAACTTGGTGCATAACTGTTGGCACTAAACCTCCCAACAGTAACTCTGTAATGAGGATGCCATTCATGTGCACTTCTGAGGGGGTTTCTTTTTCACACAGCTGCTTCTAAACAAAAGTCCAGCAGCCATTTGCCAGCAAACAGCCAGGATGTACAGGGTTACATCACCAATCAGTCTCCAGAGAGCATTGTAGAAGAGGCTCAGGGAAAGTTAACAGAACTGGAACAGAGGATAAAAGAAGCCATAGAAAAGAACGCACAGCTGCAGTCCTTGGAACTGGCTCATGCTGACCAACTTACCAAGGAGAAGATCGAGGAGCTGAACAAAACGAGGGAGGAACAAATTCAGAAGAAACAAAAGATTTTGGAGGAACTACAGAAAGTAGAACGAGAGTTACAACTGAAAACTCAGCAGCAGCTAAAAAAGCAGTATCTAGAGGTTAAAGCTCAAAGAATTCAACTTCAGCAGCAGCAGCAACAGTCTTGCCAACACCTGGGATTACTAACTCCTGTTGGGGTTGGAGAACAGCTTTCCGAGGGAGACTATGCACGGTTACAGCCAGTGGATCCCGTTTTGCTTAAAGATGAACCCCAGCAGACTGCTGCTCAGATGGGTTTTGCACCAATCCAGCCTCTGGCGATGCCTCAAGCTTTGCCCCTGGCGGCAGGTCCCTTGCCTCCGGGGTCCATCGCAAATCTTACAGAACTGCAAGGAGTGATAGTTGGACAGCCAGTACTGGGCCAAGCACAGTTGGCAGGGCTGGGGCAAGGAATTCTGACAGAAACACAACAAGGGTTAATGGTAGCCAGCCCTGCTCAGACCCTCAATGACACGCTGGATGACATCATGGCAGGTGGGTTTATATTGTTATGAGCAGGTATCAAATATGATTTGCTTTAAGGCGAGTAAGAGTGTGCCAGAATTTTGCCATTACCCAACTTGAGAGCTATTTTTGGACTCTTGACCCATGTCTATCTTTAGAAATATTAGTTCAATCTCAGAAGTTCTCAGAGGGATACAGGTCGAATTAAAGATTAGTTCATTCAATACAAATGACTGAAGCTTTCTGGCTTAGCTGCGTAGGCTGGGAATCTAAATTTTTTAGTAGTGGGGTTAATGTTTGATTTTTGTTTTTGTTTTTTCCCTTTAAGTTGAGAATACTAAGATTGAATTTTTGGCATTTTGCTTCTGTATACACACCAATAAACTTGGAAATTTATAGAAGTTGAAGTGTAAAACTAGTGGGACACATCAGGAAGCTTACTTGTGAACAGAAATATTTTATGTCCTAATGGATCAGACTTCAGACTTGGTGGATTTTTAAACAAAAAAGCATAGACACCTTTACAAAATTAATAAAATACCAAATCAAATAGGGTTTGATTATACTGTATGTCAGTGATTTTTATTCCCTGTGAATGTTAATGTGTAGTCTCTTTCTAACTGTATCATGGGAAGATGTGGTCCCCCGACAGTATGTTATAAATGATATAGTTTTAAATGTGTAGCCAGAGAAATTCCACTCTAATTATTTTCATTAGCAAGAAGAAATATTTTAAAAGGTTGTTTTAATGCTTCTAGGTTTTGGTACTTTGGTAGAATGAGATTTTATAGAGTTATAAGCCATAAGAATGCTGAGAAGGATTAATTTGCTTCTTAAAAGAAAAAGACAAAAAGGAAATTTGAAATGGAAGGGAAAAAGGACAAAAAAAGGGAATAAACAATTGAATTTTGATAATTTTCATCTAATCTTTCCCCCATTTTTATTCATTGGTCTGTACTTGAAGGATGATTGACTTTTCCTAATTTTAAAACTATGTTTTAGTAGCATTACATATTATGATGAGATTACACATAATTTAAGTTTGATCTTTTAAAAGGATAAAAGTAAACTAAGTCATACAGTGTTTAGATATTTAGCTAACATTCAGAAACAAACCAGCTAATGAGACAGATTTTATACTTAAAAATTTCTCTAAAGCCTTCTAGTCCTCCTTTAATATCACGTCAACAGTAACGTGGAATGAAAATCTCTACTAAACTTAAGGGTGAAGTAACTACATTGGAAAAACTGCTAATAATAATTAGTAATAAGAACTATGAAGACTCATTGATGAGTATAAAATTTTTCTGTAGATTTAAAAATGACTGCTAATTATCACTAGCTGCTAATAATAATTTGTAATACAATTTTAAAATTCTTAAATGTCCTGTGAAAACTGGAGCATAGTACTATAAATCCCAAATTTGATACTATGTCCATGGCCATTAATTTAGATCATAATAGTATTCTATTATGTCAGTCAAATTATCAAAGGATGTATAGTGTTAAATGTTACTTATGCACTTAAATGAGTAATAGACATTCCATACTAATGGATGTTTAAAATTTTTTTACATGTTATCAGAGTTTACGTGATGTGCTTGGGCATAGTTGTCAACAATGATTTGCCAGTTGTACAATTTTTTATACTGATCAGAATTATCAGCACTTTGTAAAGTAGCTTTTTTGTTGATTTGTATACCAAACAAAAATAGTTCTGTGTATTCCTATGTAAAAATTTTTTAGATACACATAACTTTTTAGTAAGTATGACAAATACTTGTCATACTATACAAATATTTTACTTCTTTATTCTCATTTATATGGGGAGAGGACAGAGAGCCAGAAGGAGGAAGAGCAGGATTAAAAACATTCAGCTACCTACCTACAACTCATCCTGGTAACATGCATGTGCACATGCGTACATCTGCATGTAAACTCATGTGTTCACTCCTACAGCCTCATTCTTTAACATTCTGTGGTAGGATTTGTCCCTTCAGTTGACTAATGATCATTTCCACTTCTTCTTTGGGTTTTTTTAATATATTACAATCTCATTAGACTCATAGTCTTCTTTCCTTTCCTCTAGCATAGCCTCTGCTGTTTACTTCTTAGTCCCCATTTATTAGACTTCTCTCGTAAGATTTGGTCTCTTTTTGTGTAGTAGTTGGCTGACCAAAATCTTCTGTCTTCCCTGTTCTTCACACTAGCCAAAGCAAAATCAATTCCCGGTTTAACCTGTCTTAACACCTTGCTTTTTCTATGATCTCCAGTTCCCTTTTTCCTACCCTGACATTAAAACTTTTCTGAGCATGTGGTTCTCCCTCTCTAAATCAAACCCCAAAATGAAGCCCCACATGTAAAGATCTGTACCAGAGTTCCTTCAGATACCTACATATTTACTTTTGTTACTTTTAACTGTAGAAAATGGGTGAGTGATGGACAGTGATTTAATTTTAGTAAACCAGTTGCATAGGTATGCCAAAGGAAATTAAATGAGGGAATTGATTTTTCCTGTCTCCTTTTAGATGAGGTGATAAGAACAACCAGTTTGACCAAACAAATAAGAAAACTCTTTCAGTAGGTGCTTTAAAAGAAATTAGTCCAGTTGAAATGTGAATTATAATTAGTCATTTAACAATAAAGCTTAGATTTTTTTTTTATCTGTTTAGTAGCATGAAATAAAAATCAATGATTTAGACTGGCGTTCATCTTGTTTAAGCTACGTTTGGTGTTTAGTACTTCCATTTGTGAAAATCCAATCAAAGATCATAAGGAATCTATTTTAAGAGCTATAGATTTTATGATTTTGAAATTTATATCTAGAATATGTACGCTTTAGTTATCTTGATCTCTTTCTTACCGTACAAAACTATCAATATGAAGTAACAATATCAAGGTCACTAGATGATCATTTTAATATATTAGTACGTGTCCTTTTCTATTGGTCTGGATCCCTAGGGATTCAAACAGTGTTTTGTTCTGTTTTGTTCTGTTTTGTTTTCTCCTTCATTTTTCCTTTGGCTTTTAAGTGGACTTAAAATGTATAATTATAGAACGTGTGTTGCTATAATGTATAGTGTTTGTTTGTGCCTGAACTAAGGATTTCATGTAAAATAGATTTAATTGACAATTATGTTTTTAATAGTTATAATAAGGTCAATTTCAGCTTTTATTCTGGCAGGATTATAACCTCTTTTGCCGGGTTTCAGATCCAGTTGTGAATCCTGATTGTTTTCTGTCTGATGTAGTTGATAACTACTTTGGTAACACACATCTGCACTACTGTTCACCATTCAAAGATTAATGCCCATACTTTAATACCATAGCATTTTTCATGGGGGGCAGAGCTGAAGTTCACATACCGACTTCTGCAGTGAGTCAATCAGGGAATAAAATGCCCTCAGCTGAATCTACAGTATATCCTATGCCACCATCTTTGGAGTTCTCCCATCTCAAGTACCGACCAAAAGTTGCATATTTTGGTGAAAATAATATTACAGCAAAATCATACTTAGAGAAACTAATAGTCCATATTTGAAGGATGATTGTGCATATAATTTCTACCCTAATCTTTCAGTTTTGTCCTCATAAGTCAGTATGATTGCTGCATTGAGTGGTGAGCTTTTTACCCCCATTTGATCCTCACATAGAAATGTAGTTTCTTACATGAAGAACTATTCAAATTTTTATATTTGAATACATGTCATACAGAGGGCTACAATGCAGAATATTATCCCCTTGTCTACAGTTAGTAAAATAATAGTAGGAGGTGTTTTAAATGATTGGATAGCGAGGTTCTCCACTCCCAAACAGTGATATTACTTTCATTAGTTCTGGAATATGAGGTGTGAAATTGGCAAGTAAAAACCATATTTTCCCTCTTCTGATCTTAACTGTTTTACCTTTTATTCCTTTTTTAATTAAGAAAATAAAATGGACAACTTGCCATTTGCATTTATATTTTTAATACATACAAAACAGTTTTGTTTTCAGGGTTATTTTGAGTTAAGGTTTCATGACTACTTATGAGAGGGAATTTTTTTTTTCCCCAATGAATTATTATTTAGACAATGGGCTATTCTCAACATACATTTTAATTTTAGACTGTCATCCAGTCAAAAATAACCAGGAAAATGAGTTATTAGTACTGTGGTAGTCTCCCTGTAGATATTTTGTCTTTAAAAGTCTTTAAATATTTTCTAATATTTCTTACTATTACCTAACAATGTTTCATCCTTATTAAGTGCAGTTATTTTGTTCAACAGCAGTCAGTGGAAGAGCATCTGCAATGTCAAACACTCCCACCCACAGTATCGCTGCTTCCATTTCCCAACCTCAGACTCCAAGTCCGAGTCCCGTCGTCTCTCCGTCAGGCATGCTCCCCATCTACCCTGCCATTGATATTGACGCACAGGTAAGCCCCACATGTACGAGAGATGGTTTTTCACTGGAATTATGCTGTCATTAAAAACATTAACATTCCATGCTTCAAACCATGTTAGACTGCTTTGTCTCCCGGGAAACACTTGAGCCACAGTTATAACTTAATTAAGATTCACATTTTTAAAAATAAAATACCCAATATAGATTATCACTGATAATTATGTGATGGTCTGGTTTCCAAAGTCATCAAATAATTTTTTACAAAATTTTATTCTAGTTTAGAAGAGAATGTAAAAAGAACCTTATTTAATAAGATTAGTCCATATTTTCTTCTAATAATAGGTTCCGTGTAAAAGAAAGAACATTCTAACATTTTTATATTTTTGAAACTTTTGATCTTGCCAGTTGAGGTATATAGTGAGTCTACGTGTCTGTGTCTGTAAAATTGAACTGTTTTAGGATTCCAAGCAGTTTTTTTATCTTTAGTTTATCTGAAGAAATAAAATGGGGGGGGGTGTGGAGATAGTGTTTGAGTTAAGCTTTAGAAAGCTTGAGAGCTATTAAGTAATATTGTTTTTAAAAAAATGGTTTATAGTGAAATCTCAGGGCAAGGTGAGATGGGGGAGAATAGCATGTGTTTTGTCCTGGAGAAAGGCTAAGAGGTCTAGCTTAGAAGACTGCTGAATAAGGTAAGGGTGTATGGCCTTCAGGACTGAGAAATGTTTGTATTATATTTAGTTTTTGTATTTTGATTAATACCTGGGTGAGGGAGTGTCCATTATAAAACTTTTGTATTTGATTAGTTCTTTATAATAAAGCCTCGATTTTAGGAGGTGTGTTTGTGTATGTGTGTTGTATGGACCATTAAGGGTATGTACTCTTAACCTATTAACAATAAAGTTTCTGTTTTATTAAAGTGTTTCTCAGTAACACTGTGAAAAAGGAATTTTATTTCTGTTCTTGTTTTGTTTTCCAAATGTCTGTGGTTTTATATGTGCTAACTTTGGTGGTTTTTTTGTTTGTTTGTTTTGGTTTTGTTTTGTTTTTTGAGCAGTTAAAATTGTGAGGGACTATTTTTAAGGAATTGTCTCATCTAATCCTCAGACCACTTACATGAGGTACCTACTCTTGATACCCATCTCCCTGATGAAGACACCAAGGCTAAGAGAGAGATTAAGCATTTTTGTTCACAGTCACTTCATTTAGCCAAGAAGTAGTGGAGCTGGGAATCAAACTCAGTCTGTTTGACTTGAAGGACAACACTCTTAACTACAGCCTTTTTTTTTTTCCAAAAAGAATGAGACATTCATGTAATGAACTACAGTTATTTACTTTTAATGTTAATAGCATTGTAGAATTGGTTTGAGCTTGGTATTGAATTTGCATTATTTTCCTCCAGTCTTTTTTGCTTATGGGACCAAGAACTTGATCCAGAGGCAAAAGTAAATACTTTACCAAAATATAAAAGGATTTCTTTGTAAAATGTTTTCAAATAAAATATGCATAGAAAAAATTTGTCCAGGTATTATGATTTTACTGAATTTGGAGTTATTGTAGTGATGGTGAAATGATTTTACCTCACTGTACCACTCAACCTGTCATCACTATATTATAAATTAATTTCTGAGAAGTTACATATAATTTTTTAAAAATTAAAAAAAATTTTAAAACTTACATTTTAAACATAATAGTCAAGCTTAGATAGAAAGATTTAACTGTGGCTCCTTAAAAATTTACTCTATTTGGTCTCTACATTGAGGTTTTTCATTTGTTGAGTTAGCCTAACCTGATACTGCTTTCTATGGAGTTTATCATAAATGCTTAGTTAGACATTGGAAAGCTCCTGTTTTGGAAAAAATACACAAAATAATATTCAGAAGTAATTGTTCACAATTTTTCTCTTTTAATTTTTGATATTTTTTAAATTTACTAGGTACTTTAAGTGATACAAATAAAGCAACTGATAAAAATAAAGATTCTTTTGTACTCAGTCCATCTGAAGTTTTTGTTTTGATAATATAAAATCCTTTGAGCTCTTAAATAATGGGTAATTTGGTTTATGTTTGATAATACTGTGCCATA